ATCAGATTGTTATCTCCCTGCTCCTTTAATTCACTGTCTCTGCTTTTTAGACTAATCACTTTGGTTTAATCTGAACATTTTAAGGTTTTTTTGACCATGAAGGGAATGGTTTGTGAACACCAAAGCAAAAGTTGTTTTAGAACAGATTTTAATCTTTTCTGGTTGGTTGGTTTGGGTCGTTTTTTGGTTTGTTTTTTTTTTGTTATCATCATATCTGGTAATCATTTTTCTAAGGGAGTGTTTTAGTCCCAAGTCTTGTTCCAAATCAAATTTGTAAATACCTGCTCTATTCTAACCAGCTCTGCATCTCTCAAATGATCCTCACTGTCCTTTTCCTCCATCATACTGCAGGCAGCACACTGCCAGCTGAAACTCTCTCATCCTTCATGATTTGTCTTCTTCAGTGGTCAGTCTTGCTCACTGCTGAAGTTTACTCTATCAGGCTTTCCTGAGAAGGCTGAAAAAATGATACAGTGTTCGGATTTTCCGCTGTGCCCGCAAAGTTTGAATTCAACAAGCGAACAACGGTTTTCCTCCAAGTATTCAAACGTATCGGGAAATAATAATTCTTTTTTTCCTCTTCTTTTTTTTTTTTTTTTTTTTTTTTAGAGGGACCGAACACTACTCACAACTCTATCTTGTTGGAAAAAGATTGGTTTCTAAACAAACAACCCGCTAGACAGTTATCCCTTCATCATATGTTATGGAAGATGTCATCTACATTTTCCCTTGTTTTTCTTTGTGAAACATGGTTCTCGGTTTTTTTTTTTTTTTAGAGGGACCAAACACTACTCACAACTCTATCTTGTTGGAAAAAGATTGGTTTCTAAACAAACAACCCGCTACACAGTTATCCCTTCATCATATGTTATGGAAGATGTCATCTACATTTTCCCTTGTTTTTCTTTGTGAAACATGGTTCTCGGGCGGTTTTGGTTTGTGTTGGGTTTTTTTTTTTTTCCAGCGCTCTGGGTAATAACCTCCGTAACCTTTTTCAGGACATGCAACATATGCACAACTTTCCGTGTTTCCTACCCGGGCCACCTCCACTTGCTCCGCTTTGAATAACACTATTACGTAATAGCGTGTTCATTCTCGAGCGTTGCATTTCTTGGCTTCCGAGATTATAATCTATTTTGCGTGGCGCTGAATATGATAAATATTTCATGTATTTCACCCTATTACCATTTTCTTTTTCCTGCGTGCCCTGTGTGCTGCTTGTGCTTATTTCGGTAAACGTCAGCTTCTTTCTCGATACCTAGTCGCGATGCATTCCTCTTGTTTTATAGTAAGTAATAGAGGAGTAGTGATAATTCTGCTCTTCGCAGACTTCTTGATTTGCCTTTTCTTTGTTCAGACGCCGTGCTAGTTTGTGTCTTATGGAATTGGTATTAGCCTCCCCACTCGCCTACTTTTGCTGCTGCTGCTTCAAGTTTGTATGTGCAGTTTGGTACGGGGTTTTTTGGGGTTTTGTTTGTTTGTTTGTTTTTTTTTTAAGTTACTACCCTCCACGTTTTGGCGATACAGCTGCCTGTGCAATAATTCATGTTTTCTTTGGTTGGTGATGCAACTTGCCTTTTAGAGACCGTATATTCAAATAGCATGCATTTTATCAATAAAGAAGTTTAATTTTTCTCTTATCTCACAGCTTGTACAAACTTGTTGCTTTCAAGTTTGTCTAGTTGGGTTACTTTTTTTCCAAGTGCATTGTGGGAAAAAAAGTTACGTCCGTCTCGCAGTTATTTGTCGATACGTTACCACCTTTTCGTTTTCACCTTTTACCGGTGGCTTTCGGGTCCCGGTTTCCGTACAGGATACAGGGCCAGTTTCGTACCGTCCCGCACCGCGGTGGGGGCCGTAGCGTTTTGCGGTGACGAGCCCGCAGTGATTTATGACGGTTGCCGAGGG